TAAAGAGTTTCCAACTGGTGTTACTACCATTAATGCATTATTCATTGTCTCACGATTCTTATGCAGTTTCATAGCAAAACAAGGTGATATAAAAGAATGCGTAGAACCAGAATCAATAAGCACAGATGCTGGCACACCACAGAGTATGATGATACCTTTAATAATAGATCCTGAGGCTTCAGCATCTTGATGAGTCAGTGCGTAGACTCTTGCCTGTCCTTCCTCTCTGGGTCGTAGCTGTTGTTGTCCAGTTGTTTGGGGTGGAGCTCGGCGTTGATGTTGCTTCCGAGGGCAGTCATTCGACATGTGCCCTGGTTGTTGACAATAAAAACATACACGTTGATGCCCAAACTGTTTGCCTTTGCCTTTCTTTGAGGGTCTAGAATGTGATTCCCCATACGTAAATGGTGCAGCACTAAAAGGTCGCATTCGATCCTTTGCTTGTTGTAATTCATTATCCAATTTCTCTACCACCAAAGCTCTATTTAACACTTCAGCATATGTTGGTAAAATCAGTACTGCAACGAACTTTCTAATTGATGATCGAAGTCCCCTCTCAAAATGATGAGCTCTTTGATTTTCATTAAAAGCAATATGTGGAGAGAACTGAGCCAACTCAGTGAAATGATGATCATATTCCATTACAGTTCTATTTCCTTGGCGGATGCTACGGAACTCTCGTTGTTTCTCAAAACGAACTGAATCAGGAAAGAACTGCTCATAAAATGCATCTTTAAACTGCTCCCAAGTTACCACATTACCTCCAGCCTCTAACATTCTCCTTTTTTAGGTCCATCAAGTGTCTGCCTTCCCTTCCAAAATGAAAGAAGCAAAAGGCACTTTCTGATTTTCCCTACATTCGATATCTTCGAATGTCTTTTCCACTTGACGAATCCAACGTTCAGCAAAGATTGGATCTGGCTTGCCTTAAAAAACTGGTGGTCCCAATCTCTTAAAGTGATCTAAGGTATTATTCCTACCCCGTGGAATCGGTGATGGGTGTACATGAGGATTGGGTTTACTCTACGATGCGTGGAGCTTCTAAGTTATTATTTGTTTAAACACCTCTCCGAGTGCGTACACCAGTAGCATTGCGACTATGAGCACCCCGAGTGACAGGACCACTAATCTCTGGAATTGGCTCCATTACTCCTATAATAGGTTAAAGACAATCATTGGTTAAAGTCAATCAAGGGACCTAATACACCTACAGGCCCTAGACCATGCTTTGATACCATAAAAAGATGTCACATCCTAGATTATTATTATTATTATTTTTATATATCTTTCCACATATTTAGGCCAAATAGATAAACATCACTTTATTCATCATCTATAACCATTTATTACAATTCATTTATTCATCAAATTACAAATAGAAAAGTAAACATAGTGATGTTAACTTCAAGAGTCATCCAAGTGGCTCTACCTAGCGGTAGAGGAAGGTCCACTCTCCATTGGAATCCGATTTAGTACTAGAGGGAGGCTGCTCTGAAAATCAAAAACAAAGAAAATTCAGCAACGCTGAGTAGGAACCCCAAAAGTCAAATCAAAATGGATACATGATCAAAATTCAATCGATCATCCCATTGGCGTATATCAAATACCCGAAGGAGCACTCCCCCAACAGCGGATGGAGAGGCTTTATCCTACGGGATAAGTTTGTGTTCTTCCAACAGCGGATGGAGGCAAACTCATATCACACTCCCAACAGCGGATGGAGTGGTGTCCCACACCCGCCAAAGTGGGGACACGTTCCTCCCAACAGCGGATGGAGGAACCGTCCAGCCGCCACGTCTGACGGCCTGCTAATCCCCGAAGGGAATCGCCCTACCTGCCCTTGGTAGGGAAATAACATAATCTCACACTAGTCATGTCCATATAGGGATGAAATAACACATTTAAACATTTCTTTCAAATATCATCAATACCAAATAATACAAATTAGCCCTCAATTGACTTGAACTCTAGTTCAATTGATCTAATTGAACTCAATTACTAGGACTTAACTGAACCGATCTCTAATCCTTATTTAACTGATCTGGAACCACCCTAGACTAGTATAATTTGGATTAGATTAGGTTCAAGTTAGGTTGAACTAACTTGAATAAGTCAATCAATTTGGAATCACCCTGAATTGATCTAGACTAATCAAGCCTAGTTTAGTTCAATCAATACTTAGGCTCAAATCCAATAATAATATTGGGCTAGATTAAGCCAGCTCATCTACTAGTAATGTGCATTATACATGACTGGGCATGCATTACACAAAGCTGGTCCAGCCTTGGCCCATGGACTGGTCATGTGCATCGCATGTGACCGCCCATGATGGTTAGGCTGGGTTAGCCTACGGGCCAAGGCCTGATCCGTGGGTTGGGCCTGGCCTGTGAGTAATTTCAATCCAAATAATATATAATTTCATACCGCAACATATATTCATTAGTAATATAAACAAAAACATAATAACACATTGAATAATAGACAAGGAGATAAGCTTTAAAACAAGGAAATAACATTCTAATTTGAATGGAAATCATAATACATTAAAAGACATAAACTTTAATATAATGAAATAACCTTCTAAATTCACATAAAAATCATGTTTTCAATACATATAAAATTTCAACATATTCTAATCAAATTCTAAATCATTCAAAATAGCATATTTTAAATTTCAAATTAATGAATATCATAAAAGATTTTAGATAACATATTTTAATCTAATAATATTTTAATCCCGATAAGATTAAAGATAAACAGTAATATCAGGAAATATCAGATAAAACATATAATTTTTTAACATCTTTAAATCTATAATAAAAAAACTTAATCATGGGTCAACATTATACAACTGATTACTTTAATGTAATAATAAAAAAAATTAATATTTAAAGAATTGATAAACATTTTTCAAATTACAAACTTTGAACATTCAAAGAATCAAAATAAAAACTAAAACTTTTAAATTTAAGAAAGCCAGGGAAACCTATCTCTCATAAGCAGGATGTAACTCCTCGTTCCTCCCGCTGCCAGGCTCGACTAGGTGAGGAACGAAGGAGAGAAATTCCTTCCCTTAAATAGGAGGAGGCGAGCCTCCATTAAAGGAAATATATTTTAATTTTTATATTTATTTAATATAAATTATTTTCATTTAATATACTAACAAATATGATATCATCATATTTGGAATACTTAATAGTTATTTCCTTAATTCATATCAACAAACAAGGAAGTAGATTAAGATTTCCTTAAAATATAATAACAAGTAAGGAAAGAAAATCAATTCCTAACTTAAATATTTGATGTGATTACAGAGGCGGTCATGGCTTGGCCTTCGTCGTCTCTCCCTCGAACAATCTCTCCGAAGCCCAACGTGGTCCGTACGTCGGACTCTTCAGCCGAAATGACACCGACAACTCTTCCAATCATATAATAGCCGTCGAGTTCGACACCGCGAGGAATTATGATACGAAGCGTGACATCGACGACAACCATGTCGGCGGTCAACAACATCATCTCCGATGTATCCGAGTCTGCGTCCTACTACACGAGCGAGCACGAGAACGTGGCGGTGATGCTGGAGAGCGGGCAACCGATCCAGGCTTGGATCTCTGTGCCCAAACCACGATGGCCTCTCATATCCAATGTCACAGATCTATCGCAGGTTTTCAAGGAGTTCATGTACGTCGGCTTCTCAACTGCGACCGGGAATCCGTCTAGTAATCACTACATATCGGGATGGAGCTTTAAGACTAATGGAGTTTCACGCCCTTTCGGCTACCTCTTCCCGCAGTGGATAGGACCATCGTCATTGGTCTAAAGAGCGACTGTACCAAAGATCGGAGCAGTGTTTAAGATTGTTACAGTAGTCGTCGTAGCTCTTACTGGTATCTTCGGCAGCGAGCGAAGCTGTCAGCGAACCTCGACTGCGAATTGAACCTCAAGTGATAAATAACCTTTCTGCTGAATGTATATAAATAGCTATCAAGAGTTCACTATCTAAATGAACTAAGTAATTACATCTCATACATTTCATAGTTTCTTCTATAATTTCTATCTTCTTCGTTTAATTCTTTACATGGTATCAGAGCCTTCTTCCTTGTAGATGTAGGCAGCTCTACCGAAGCCTTCTATTGCTCCTCTTTTCTATTCAGTTGGAAAGGGTAGTGCTGCTGCTTACCTCTTCTCCGGTGTCACTACTTTTTGTTCCAGAGTCGGAGACTGCTCGACCACCTCTTACCCTCACAAGAACCTCGCCTACACTACCGTGGTGGCCGCCGTCCTCGCAACTGCTCCCCAGCTAGCGACCTCTCCTTCTCATTCCCACATCTCACTCGAGCGAGAAGTGCTGCTGTCGCCATCCTTGCTGCACAACCTCGTCAAGGTGCTCGACGCCTACACTGCTTACCCTGTTTCGCAGTGTTCTCCTACCTGAGCTGGCAGCCGCCTGTCATTTCCTCTACCACAGCGCATCTCGGCAACATTAATCCAAAGCAACAAAGCAGTCACCTCCCGCCACAGCCATCACTGCCTTCCTATGGCAACAGGAACGATTGCAGTTTTTACAGCTTCTATTTACAGCCGCTTCCCTCTACCGCAGCAATTTCTCTACCACAACAATCTTTACTGCCACAGCAAGCTTCAGTAGTTGTAACTGCTGCAGATTTTTTTTTTCACCTAATCGCTACAGATTTCTCGCTCATCGCTGCAGCTCTTCTATAGTGCATCGCTGCAGTCTCCTCTGCAGTGTATCGCTGCAGCCTCATTGCTGCAGCCTCCTCTGCAATGCATCGCTGTAGCCACCTCTGCAGCTTCCTCGCCCATCGCTGCAGCCTCCTATGCAGTTCATCGATATGCTTTTCTCCTCCTCCCTCCCTCCTATATATTTACATTTTCTATAAAGATCACTTAAACCATCACAAAATATCTGGGATGTCTTCATTTTCCTCTTTCGATATTCCTGTCCTTGTTTCTGCAGGGACTCTAAGCACTTCTCAAAGTCTTATCACCATCAATGCTGCAGCATTCATTCCCTTCAAAGTATCCAAAGACGACAACTATGCATCTTGGTGGGCACAACTTTCTAATATTTTATTTGGCTATGATCTCCTAGGTTACGTTGATGGCTCTCTCCAGTGTCCACCTGAAATGATAAACATCTCAAGCGAACCCAGTCTAGTGCCAAATCCAGCCCACAAACTATGGTTACGTCAAGATCGCCTCATCCTCCAAGCTATTCAAGCTTCCGTTGCTGGATCCAATGCCCCGCTGATATCCTCATGTATGACTGCTGCAGATGCATGGTGCAAGTTACAAACAACTTTGGCAAATCGGTCGCATACTCGCATGCTCGGACTTCTCTCCAATCTGATGAAAATGAAACAAGAGGGAAGTACTATTGCTGATTATCTACAATATATCAAAGTTATCATCGATAACTTAGCTTTAATAGGTCATTCTCTTAGTGATGAAGAAGTCCTAATCCATACCCTCAATGGCTTAGGAGGCGACTACAAAGAACTGACAATAGCACTTCGGGCACGCGACTCACCAATATCATTCGAAGAACTTTATGATAAGTTGATCGACTATGAGATGTACTTGAAGAATGATGATAGGTTACCCGGACCACTTATTACAGCTCAGGGCAATCAAAAATCCAAGAGGAAGAGTAACCAGTATAATAAATACGTCAACAACGATCTGGCTAAGCTGCCTCTTAGCCCTATGGGCCCAGACCAAACCCCCCTTATCCATATCAAGGTCTTTCATAATTC